TTTTAAATTTTTAACAAAAAGAAACTTCAAAAATTTCAATAAAAAAAATTTAAAAAAAACCGAAATTTTTATGAAATCAATTTTTTATGTTTCAAAAAAATCAAAAAGCAAAAATACCTATTTTCTTATAGCACACCCATCTACATATTTCGTATGCGCCCTTTATCTTTCTCTATTTCTCTATTACTCTCTCTCTCTTTCTTTACTTGTTTTACAGCAAAACAAACAACATTTAGGTTTTGTGTTGTTATTTAATAACTTTCAGTGCCATTTATTTCTTTAACTTTATTTATTTTTCAATAGTTTTGTTTGAATTGTTTTTAATATTCTCATACGTACAAACTATGCAATAAATTATTATTTAAACTTATATAATAGAAATAAAGCAAAACTACTAAATTACAACAATATTTTATTATTATGTATATGGTACGTGGCTACGGTAACGTTATTTAGTATATGTGTAGGGTAAATGTATGTATATGTATGTGTGTGTATATATATATAATGTAATCTGCAGCTTTCCTTCGCATACAAACAGCAGTTTATAAAAGTTGTTCAATGAAGGTTTAGCTACAATTTATAAGTTTATTTTGTTAAGCAGCATTTGTTATTATATTTTATATTTATTGCATTTGTTGCACAATGTATGCAACAACATGAAATGTGCAAATTCAACTGTTGCATTCTCTTTATTGTAAATCATTACTTAGATATGTACAGTTGATTTTGCTGCAGTCATGTATCATGCATGCGAATCCTTAGACAATTAGAGTCTCCGCAGGATTCTGGGCGCTGTCTGGCAGTCGCTTTTATAGTTTTTCATACATTTTACTTTTTTTCGTTTATATTAGTTATAAGCAACTTATAAACTGTAGCTGAACGATAGCGAAAATTATTATTAACTGTATATGTGTTACAGTTTCATGTAGGCGAGTGTGTGTGTGTTTTAAAGCAAAAATACTTGAGTTGTATGCATAAAAAAGTAAGTGTTAACAAGTCAAAAATCTTACAACAGATTTCGAATACAATACTATTAGTTATAATTAAAATTTGCTGTTATGTACGCATAAATCGAGAAGCACGCAAGTCTGTGTTATAAGAAATTTGCTTAAAAAGTGCGCTGATATAATAAAAAATTATGATAAAAAGGACCACAACATGTTTCAAGTTAGTAAAATAGTAAAATATTTGAAAATTTGCAAGACTTGTCACTTTTTGTATTTTTGTTTTAACCTCGAAAAAATAGTAAAACTCATGTTGCCTAAAAAATAATGTTTAAAATAGAGTTTTTACTGGCTGGTTTTGATATGTGCTAAAGTACTTGCCTTCAGCGCGTTATAAATCTTTTGGTTATTTACATATTTTCAGCATGTTCACTATTACTCAACTTTTTATACAAAATGTGAATATTGGCTATTTTACAAATTTTTGATTTGAAGAGTTATTTTTATATTTACAAACAAAATTATGTATTTTTTTAATATATTACTGACTATTTATAGCAATTGCAATTTTTAGTTGGATACGTTTTTAATTTAATTATTGAATAAAAAAATATATATTTTTTTAATTACAATTTTTTTAAATTTAATTATGAGAATTGTGTTTTATTTAATAACATTAGTGGAAAAAAATTAAAAAATATTTATTTAAAACCATTAATGTGAAAAAAATTTCAAAAAACATATAAATTGTAGGCAGCTTGAACGACTTGACTTGTTTGGATTTTAAATTTATATTTTGCACAATAAAACAAAGCAAAAATTTTAACATAATGCTGTTAGCGTGAATTTCTATAAAGAAAAATTTCAAACATTTTAATATACTGCGTTTAGCGTGAATGCCTTGTTTATTATTTAGCGAAAATTATTTACTCTTTTGCTGCATAATTTTAAACTGTTTTTTTTTTAAGCATTTTGTTAAAAGAAATATTATTAATTAATTGGTCTAATGTATGTGTTCAGTTTATACTGGAAATGGCATGAAATTTTCCATTTGTGTTTTGGTTTTTGAAATCAATTGGTATTTGTTTTTGTTTTCTGCATGTCATTGGAATTTTAGTTTTTTTTGAAAGCTTGGATGTTCAACTTTTTGCCAATGCAATTTTAAATTTTTCATTTTAATTGTTTTAATGTTTTTTTTTGTCTTAATTAGCAGCATATTTTAACATTTTGGCTATACAGTTTTTTCATTTAACCTTTATTTTGTTTTATTTTTTGCTATTTTCAAGTTTTCAAATTCACAAATTGTTTTTCAGCATGCAAATTTTTTTACAACTTTTTTATACTCGTGCGCATACTAGTATTTTTATACGCTTGCAACATGTTGCTAGGGAGTATAATAGTTTTTTGCATTTTTGCCACATTTTCTTATTATTTTTAATTTTTACAAATATTTTCCCTGATTATTTATAATTTTCTTCAAATCTTTTGTTGTTTATAGTTTTATTATTTTTTTTTCCAAAAGAATTGTGCTTATATTTACTGAATTTGGAAATACATACAAATACATGCAATATGGTTGTTGTTATTGTTATTTCTGTTGTTAATGCTAATGTGCAAATATTTCGCTTTTGGTTTTTCACATCGTGATTTATCTGCTTTGTAAAAATTATACAACATGGATAGAAAATAATATCAAAACTTAAAATTACACACAACTTTAACTAAAAAAATGAATTTTATGTTGAACCATACTTTCCTAAACTGCTCCTCTCTAATCGTTTGCTTATGCTTTAACTATGCGCTTTTCATGTGTCAGTGAAAGGTAAAAAATATAAAAATTTCGAAATTAAAATTTAAAACACAATAATAATATACAGGGTATGACATTTATGAAGCAAAAAATGCAAACGATTTGTTTTTCTCATTCATATTTACAAAGATACAAAGCTTGCAACATCGCACTTTGTTCTCTTTCAAGCGCGTACAGCAACATTACAATTATTTTGCTTACTACCTTCTGTGTTGCCCCCACTTCCTGCTTCTATTCGACTCAACTTCATATTTTTGTATGCTTGAAATAATTATAAATTGAGTTATATCACATTTAATATGATCATTACGCTTTGTTTGCCGCTTGCAGTTACTGCGGCAACATGATGCGCTGTTTTAGTTGCTGCAGAATTATACTGATACATTTGTAGCAGCATTAGCAACAGGGCAAACGTTGCCCAGTGCTTGTGTGTGGGTGTTTGAGTGTATGTGTGTTGCGGCAATGCAATAATGACGCGTACAAACACACGGCGTTGCGTCGCTCAAACAAAGCTGGGAATACTTGTTGGTATGGTATGAAAGCGCTATATGTTGCCAGCAACATATGGCAGCATTGGTGCGCAACCAATTGTTTGTCGACGTTTATCAGTGAGTTTTGTTTCTTGCTTTATTTTTGCGTGAAGTTTTGTTGCTTATTTCTTTAAGTTTGTGGTATTTTCGTGATGTGTGTTTGCCGGCTGGCTGGTGTTGTGATGGTTTGCAAATGTTAGCCACAACGTTTTGAAGCGACCCTGCTTGACATGGTCGTCTCGCTGGACGCGTAAAAAAGTAAATCAAGCGTATATTTTTATTTCCGTGGCATAGATCACAATGTTTGCAGTTTTGAAAAACTTGCAACATTCCATAAAAAAGGAAAGCATTTGTTTGTGAAAAATAAATATGTATATAAAATATATTAACCGATACAACGCTTGTGCATGTTTCTCAAAAATTGCAAACATTGCCATTTCCCTTTTTGTTTTTAATTAGTTTGTGGCTATGAGAATCTTTTGTGGCGTAATAAAACAATTTTTTTGGTGTTGCCACTAAATTATTGCTACATTTTACTTGTCAAAGACTCTCAACAACCAACACATACGCAACAACAAAAGCTAATGAATTTGTACGCCACTATTTGCAGTGCAAGCGCCGCTCACTCAACATACACACACCAATATCACCATCAATTCTAAAAATTATGTAACTCCAACTACCCAGACTGGTGCCTCGATAAATTTTTGTTTTCTTTTAATATGCTACGCCTCGCTTCGACTATAAGCTTTTTCAATTAACGCTTCAACATTGCGGCGTTTAGGATGACGACATTGGGCCGTTTGTTGTGGCCGCCGTATTTTCCGCGCCATTATTGGTCGCTGCGGCTGCTGCTGCGGCCGTTGTTTCGGTCGCTGGGCTGGCGTCGCTGCTCTCATTGGCCGCAGCTGTTGTGGGTGTACCAGCCTGTTGTTGTTGTTGTTGTGGTGCTGCAGCAATCATATTAGCGGTCGATACTGTGGCATTGCCGGCCGTGATCGCTGGTGTGCCGGCATTGCTGCCATTGCTAAGATGTGTATAAGAGACAGGTTGTGGGTGTACCAGCCTGTTGTTGTTGTTGTTGTGGTGCTGCAGCAATCATATTAGCGGTCGATACTGTGGCATTGCCGGCCGTGATCGCTGGTGTGCCGGCATTGCTGCCATTGCTATTGGTGTTGCTACCGGCGATCTGCAGCTGCGTTTGCATTTGCAATTGTTGCAACATCTCCTGTGACATGTTCGATTTCAATATGGTGTTCTCAACCTCAAGTTGATTGATTTTGTCCATCAGCTCGGAAATTTTCTCCTTGAGTACTTCAACTTCCTCGCGAACAGCTATCATAAGATGGGATTTGACCAGATCCTATGGAGAGAGAAAGATAGGTGGTAAAAAGAGAAGTATTAGTAAGGCTTGCAATATGCTAAAAGTTAAATAAAAAATATACAAATTGTAACACAAATATTGATCTTAATTATTTGTATTAGCTCAGTGTATAATATGATATAATAAAAGGAGTATGTAATCTCCAGGGTAAACAAGCTCAATTTTGTTTAAAAATTTTAAATTTCTTAACTTTATTGTTCATTCTTAACTTGCCAGTTCGCATGTACTTTATAATTTTATAAATCAATATTTTTCGTGTGAGCCGCTTGTAAACATAGCAACATAGACTCCACCTATACATATCGCATTAATTAGTTACCCACACATGTTTGTCAACATGCAAATTGGCCTGTCACAAAAGCATATTTTGTAGCAAAAGTCAGACAGACATAACCAAGCCGCGCTGGCATGAGAGTTTTGCCAGCCTCACGCTGCTAAAATGTAAACATTTGTCCGATTTGTGCGGTATAAGTCCATTTGCCATGTTTTGCTTGCAAATCAAAGCAATAATAACATAACACAGACATATTCACATGAATTTATCGTGGCAAAACGAGTTGATTGCGTTATTGCTTTCTCTACGATGATAAGATAAGCAAACATTTTGCCTAATATGGCATAGCTCGTTTAAAGATCATAAAAATAAATGTGTTTACCTATTTGTGAAAGACGCTCTATTTATTTTTATACACATGAATAATTAAAACCCCTCTTCAACAGTTATCTGAAAGCCTTTTACTCAATATTCTGCCATCACAGCAGAAACTATTTATACGGATAGCTACGCCTTTGAACGGACACTAAGTAACGTAGAACCGAAATTAAGTGACATAGAACCGCATGGCATAGGCTGCTTGGTTAAATGCTGTGGTGAGCCGGCTATGAAGAGTAGGCCGAGCCCACAACAGCATACTGCAAAATAATTAGTTTGGCAGCGTTTCATATTTTATCAAGTGGCTATTGTGAGAGAAGGCTGGAAAGCGATGCTTCGTTGAATATATTGTATTGACAAAATACGAAAAGGCTTTTTCGACTACCCAATATTTGCTAACAAATAACTCGTGAATGCTTAACTTAAACGAAATATTATAGGAGACCATTTTTAGTGCAGTAAATTTCGCACAAAACTATTTTCATCATTGAATGCTTATTTTCAAAGAAAAAAGAAAAATTTTAATTGAAATAAACAATTTTCAAGCGTAAATATCTTTTTACGGTTAGGTTTACGAAAAAAACTTCGTTGTCTTTTGTACAGCATTTAATTTCCTATGAAAACTGTGAAACGAGTTATTTTTTTAAGCACTTGGAAGCGAGATACGACTTTTCTGTCGGATAATAATTGCTCAGGGTACTAAACGAAAAAAAAATTGATTTTTTTTTCGCCCACCCTAATGTTTGTATATAAATATCTGATCTTTGATAAATATCAAATTTGCAGAACAGCAAAAATTATGGCACAAAAAAGCGAAAGTATTTAATGCCGACGCAAGTATTCCAAAATCACATTAGCAGAAACAAAAGAAATGCTTTAAAGACCGCACTATGCAGATACCGGGCGGCACAAATGTAAAGGCATTCAAATACAGCTCAGCACAGGGTGCAATTACTTGGTTTAAGTGTGCTCAAAATTGGGGCAACACGCGTATCTATTAATTTATGGCAGAGCGACAGCCGGGAGTTCACCCAGTAGCACAGCAACACTACGACCCCCGTGGTTAACAAAAACAAAAGCAATGAAAAACCGAGCACGTGCTAATAATCATAACAAAATTCGCACATCACGCCACGCAAGCGGTGGCGGATGATTCATTTGGTTGCGCTTGCAATGGCTGCCTACATGCGCCCTTCATGCACAGTCGGCAACATGCCGAAGACAACACCTTAACATTCATTCATATGTGTATATCTGGATATACAAATATGGATAAAAATAATATAAATACAGGTAACACGCCACAAGCGCAATATTGCTGAGCATTCAAAGTGGCGACGACGTCAGTACTTGGAACTCACACAAGAGTGTTAGTAATAACATTGAACATATGCCACGTATCATTAAAAAAAAAGAGCTAAATTAAACACGAAAAGTTAATAGTTTCATGTTTTCCAAGAACTTTAGTTGCGCCAAATGAGAGTGGCATGCGCACACAAAACGGACCACTGGGACACATCAAACAAATTGACATTGTACGTGGGTGTAATTACTGCAAAGCATGTGCGCTGACAGCTGTCCTGTCATTTTGGTACTGTTTGCCCAAGCGACGGTCAATTAGGAGAAAAACGCAAGACAGACATGTTGAATGCAAAGCTGTCGCTGAAAAAAAGTTCAATAATGGCATTGTGTGGTTATATGTGACATGAAAGCAACTCTTCAGTAATTATAGTGGGTATCTTAATACTCGTAGTAATGAGAAAATCGAAAGTGTGCAATTTCTAAAAAGATACATACTGATCTACTTAGTTAATGTGGGCCAATATTAGTGAACATCAATGCTTGTCGGTTATATGATTGGCCTTGCTTGCGCTGAAATTTAGCACACCCAAGAAACCAACTAGCAAGGTAGGTACAGATGTTTTCAGCATGTGATGAAAGAAAGTGTGAGGTAGTTAACCTCATTTCTTTGATGGCAGATAAGACACATACTAAACTGGCACTTTTACTTTTAAAACTAGAATTTCTATAATTAAAAATTTTGTCTTCCAGTATGGAATATACTAGACACACATATATGTATATAAGTATGTATGTGTATGTGGAATATTTATAAAATATGTGTGTGGTTTAACTTGCATCTATAATTTCTTAACAAATAAGGTACAAAGCAAAATATACCAAGAATTTGCGCTCAGAGGACGCAAGGTCATTGTGCGCTTAATACTGTAAAATTTTCTTGCAAAAAATATACTAGTATGTAAAAATATGTTGTATGTATGTCTGTATGTTTTGACAGCTTTATTCTTACGTCTGCATCTCAAATAAATGCGATTTAAAAACTTGTTGATTAGGGTGGGTCAAAAAAACTTTTTCTTTTGGACTGCTACTCTGAAAAATAGGTTCTTAGACAACTCTTAAGAAAGTCGCTGCAAGTAAGTGCTCTTAATTGTAACGGGAAGGTACTGCGCCTTATAATTTACTATTTTTATCTTATTATCAGTTAGAAAAACTCAATACTCGTTTCCAACTACTGAAAAATATGTTGTTTAAAGGCTCATACTTGAAAATACTTTCTTTTAGAGATATCTAAGAAGCTATTTTTCAGAGTAATAAGTGAAAAAATATTAATTTTTTACCCACTCTAATATTGATACAAGCATTTGTGCGGCTGTGTGGCTGAAATTTTTGGCTTCCAATGGTAGAGAATCGAGCATTGCTTGAATTAATTTTTCGAGAAATTTGAAAAAATTCTGTCACACTGTCAACACGTGGCGCATAAATGGTAATATATTTTTACCTTATTTATAAAGAAAAAAATAATTTATTCAAAGTAATTGCCAACCAGACAAATATAAATAAATTAGTTAAATAAAAATTGCGTTACACAACAAATCACAGAGTTTAGTGCTTCTAATAAGAACGCAGTAAATAAAATTAAATTAAAATAAGTTTTTTTTTTTAAATATTTACTGCAAGAGTAAAGCAGGAGTAAATCGACAAAAAGACGACAGATTTTGTATCCTTATCTTGAGGAATTCTTCTCGCGATGAACCCGAAAGTTTTGGCTTGCTTCCAAAATTATTAATAACTTAAAATTTGTACGGGATGTATGGATTTGAAAATTTTTAAAAATTATAGCTTTAAATAATTTGCAAAACTACGCACGAGAAAATCAATATATGTAACTAGAACGCCAAGCAGCCGTTGAAAGTGTGATTAACTCGGCAGATGAAAGGCACCAATAACGAAGGTGACTAACTGTTTATACAAAATAGAAAAATAATCTAATAAAAATATCACACTGAATTTTGCGCAGATAAAAAATAAAATCTTATAGACAAGAAGCGTAAAAACAATAACAAACTAAGGTATAGTAATCAAAACACAAGTGTCTGTCATAAAATATAAAATTAAGCCTCTTGAGCTTGATGATAAATGCACACAAATACCTAAACAAATTAAACTGCCAATTTTGTTGTTGGTTTTTAGAGTCGTCAAATTTAATGGTTACGGATAGACAGAAAAAATATAAAATGTGCAGAAGAAAAAATAATTTAATAAACACAAGACGAATGTGTATACATAGTATACAGATTATGATGACGTGGCAAGGCCGCACAGTTTGGCGCATATAATTAATAGCAATAATAATGTAGAAATGTGTTATGTATTTTTAACGTTTTTAACGCTTAACACTAAATTTTTTATTAACGAAAAAATAAAATAAAAAATAA